ACTATGTTAAAAAAATGACAAATTCATGATGCTAAAGTTGCTAATTAGAAATAAAAAAGGAAAACATATTGCATTGATATATTAGATATGTTGTGTTAATCTTGCAGTTTTATTATTATTAACTTTAACAGAATTTGATCTGTGTGTGAGAGAGATTCTACAATAATATTCACCAATTACATTCATTAATCTGTGATCATCTATCACACACTCAAATTTCTCAAATAGGGACATCACCAACATCAGTTAGCACTCGTGCATATCTTGTAATTCTTTGCCTGCATAATCAAAATTGTGCTATTATAAGCTATTAAGCTACTTATTATCATAATTTACAAGTAATTGAAGGCCAAAAACAATTGCTTCCATGACCATGGTAGATTCACAGACAAAGAATAACTAGATATAAGGAATCATGCATCATTATAGAAGTCCATGCTATCCTCATAATACAGTAAAAAAGTGTTACCTGTGGCTTGACTAAAGCAAAAGTTGAATATAAGAAAAATGTGACTGCAAAATGAATACAAGGAAATACGGGTTGTAGCTACTTTCTACTACAAAGACAATAGTAAAATAAAAACTGCAACATATGGAATCATGAAAAAGTGGAGTCTGCAGAACTATATGTCAACATGAAAATGCTATAACTGCATATTAAGGTCAACAATGACTATTTGTCACCAAGTAACCATCCCAAAAGCTTAAGCTATTAGGTGGAGACTCAAATAGTTTCATAGTATATTTCTAACATGCCCCCTTACACGACCCATTTAGACTTGAAGCATGAACAATGCACAGGTCTAACTACTTATATGAAATTAAACTTTCTTAAAGAATGGTTAAAGCAAGGATTGAACTTTAGACCATTTGGTCGTAGAAGCTACAATACGATGTCAAGAACCAACAATTCCAAAAAGCTTAAGTTGTTAGGTGAAGATGCATAAGTGATTCTATATTAGATTTCTAACACAATCCAAAATCAGCATGCTGCCATGTGATACTAAGGTAGCAAAGCAAGAAAACTGTACCTGTTTGTACCCGGACTCTAGAAGAGACAGGGACATCAACTAAGTCTCTCATCCAATCATGATCAACAACTTGAACGTCATCACTAGATACAAGGCAAGGGATCAATGACAAGAATTTATGTGATGTTTGGTGTAAGTTAAGCACCTAGATTTTGAGGAACAATACAAGACATGTTAACCAACACAAAATATCAACCAGAGACAATAATACTGAATATAATTCACATCATAAAGTTCTAATACATCCTTTGGATTTTACTAAGGCTAAGAGGATAGGAAACTGACCATTTCAGCATCTTTAGCTTTTCTCTTGAGAGACTCCCGGATAATATGATTGACAATAGGAATCTATAATTCAGAATCACATATTAGGCTATTTAACCATGATGTCACTTGAAATAATAATCACATGAAAAGACACAAGGTACAATGAACACATGCCCCCATTGAGCACACACAGCATACATATTAGTCCCCACTCTGCAGGGGACTAGCAAGTCACGAACGTGATTGCCTGACTAGTGAGTCACAGTTGTGATCTCCTCGAGTTTAAAAACTTTGTTAAGACAGAACGAGTCACAAGCATGACTAAAGTCACAGGCGTGATTGACTCTATTTAATGATTTTTTTCAATAATTCCTTATTTTTAAAGGTTGATATGTATATTAAAGTTGTTCAAGTTATAAATTCCAATTGATTATATGTTGTGAGTTGATTTTTAGTTGTTTTAAAGTTGTTTATTGAGGTTGATTATATGTTGTAAAGTTGTATTGTGATGTATGTGGAAAAGTTACTATATTGTTAGAGTTTTTAAAGTTGTGTAATTGTATGAAAGTTGTTAAGTTGTGTGTTGCCTATTGTAGATAATGTTATGATGATGTTAAGATATATAAGTTGTTTATGTTGTAAAGTTGTTAGAGTTGCTTATGAAAGTTGATTAAAAGTTGTTAAGTTGCATTAGTTGTTTTAAAGCTGTCAAGATGACTATTGTTGAAAAGTTGAATGAATGATGGCTATAGTTATAAAGTTGTATAAAGATGTTATTGTCGTAAAGTTGTAAAGTTGGGGACATATGACTAAGATATATGTCCTATGTTGAGATACATAGTACCAAGACGATAAGTTGAAAGTTGTTTTTAAGGTTGAATCCCTTAGTACTGTGTGGGCAGCATGGGAGTAGTCAATCCATGTCATGGTTGAATGACCAATTTGAGTAAGGTATCTAGTTGGAGATGTAATATTTGACTAGGTATTGGAGGGTGCGTGGTACTTAGAGAGTAGTGGGTGGGATAACTCTATACGTGGATTGGTGATGCAAGTCAAGGTCGTCGTAGGCCCACACCCAAACCCTTATGCCTTGACAATAGTATTGAACCTCCACGTCTAAGTGGCACATTTGAGCAATTGCCTATTATTTTCTATACCTGGTTCTCTCCGGAGTTCTTAATGATGTCATATACTTGCTTTGGTCAAGATAGGTCAAACGTTGGATTCAGTAGGGTTTATTCCACCTAAACTATTCAACCTCAATTGTTGGAGATCTCCTAGTTGTATATGCGTGATGAAGCATTAGTAGATGTTGCATATGATGTTGCATGGATGTTGCCTATGTGGTTGCGTTGAAGTTGTATATTACGTTGAATGTGTAGAAAACGTTGTTCTTTTTAGCTGATGTGGAGAGACGAAAATTTGAATTCTATTGTTGTTTATTATATGTTGATGTTGTTTTATGATGTTTATTGCTATAAGCTTACTATAGCATGTTTTCCCTTGTGATTGGGACTACAATGACCATATCTTGGTATGTGAGCAGATCAAAAGTAGGTGATGCTGTCGCGGGGAAAACGAACTTTTGGTCGAGACACAGTTGAGGAGTGGTTACTATGTTGTTTATGTTTTGTTGGCTACCATATATTTTGTATAGTATATTATATTCCATTTTCAATCAAACACACATATATATATGGGACTTTAGTCGTTATTTCTCATCATGTATATAAATGCTTAATGGAAATGTTTTATTTTTATGCATTATGTATGGTATGAGAAATGTATTATTATGTTTTTTCCTGACGCTATAAATTGTGTGAGACCTGGCAGGTCGTTACACCAATCAAGAACAATGATAAAGAGAGTTATAACGAATTCACTTTGATACAAAATCAATAAAAAAAAGAAGGTGAATCAAAGTTGGAATAACTTAACCTTCCTCTTTAGTTGGATGATGATGATTCTTAAAATTATCCTCAAAGGATCAAATGATTTTTTCACAAAGAAAATAAAAAATTTATAGAATTCTCTAATTGAAATAATTGATTATTTTTATAGATAAATGATTATTTTGCTCTTGATGAATCCAAAAACTAATTAAGAACACTTTAATCAATTTTTTACTAGAATAATTAATTATTACAAGGATTTGACTTTGAAATAATTGATTATTGTATAATGACAATATATTATTATAATGAGTTTTTAAGAATGATAAAAACACAAAATAAATAATTAATTATTACAAGTGGATAATCGATTATTTTGAGTGACAAACTCAAATTTTTGATTTTCAAGTTTAAAATTAGTTTAAAAATATCTTCATCGTCAAATATCATCTAACAAAAAATTATATAACTAAGTTACTTAAAATGAACAAAACAAACATGCCAAACAAAACATAAACA